AGGATGGATTAGCGATATCCGACCACAGTTACCGTACTTGGAATTGGCTCACCGAAGCCGCAGCTCCTTTCGAGGCTCTGTCAGAAATCCATTGTGATAATTTCTCATTACGCGCACGACCGCACCTATCTGTTTTGTACAAAAGGGTCCTCAAAAGCCATTTATTTTCCTGCTATGGCTAGCCCATGCGAGGTTTTTGGGTCAGTATACCACCTGAGCGGGCTAATAAGGTGCTACATGAGGTGTTGAACATCAGAAAATTCACGAAATATTTAAAATTTATGGGACTCTCAGATACTCTGGCACTGAAACACATTGAATTGCATACCTTTCCCGGATATTTGCTCACAAGGGCCACATCCGGATTAAGTAGCGCCCTTTGTTGTTTCAAAGATCTGGGTTACGGTATATAGCAAATGCTCCAGTACAAAGCTGTGAATCCACTGCACAACAAGCGGCAAATCGCTTCCTCAACGCCGTCTGAGAGTGTGATAATGCGGTCCGCGGTAGCGAGCTATGCAAATTTGGATAGAATGTTTGACTCAAAGCAAGATGCCCCTCACACCACACCGTTACGGGCTGCGCTTCACGGTTTCTATGTTTGAGTAAGCTGCAGTCGTGCGATTAGCACTTCGCACCTATCTCCGCACTCATCTTCCGTGAACAACAGAATTGCTAGGGACCCCGGGTACCGTGAGCAACCCGAGGAAGTACGGAAGAGGCCATGAACGGTTCTCACAAAATCAATTATTAATCTAATACATCTTTCACTTATAGGAAACGGACTTCAGAAATCCATAGGAGAGCATAAGGAATAACTTGTCCCTGAGATAAAATCCTCATTACAGTGTGCCCATTTGCTGCCGAACCCTTAATGCTTGGAAAGGAGTACGCATTTTGTCGCCCTTCGTCTATTGGTGACTGCCCTGTTGGTTACCTATGTGACCAATCTTTTGTTCTGGGCAAATCCATTTGCTGCCGTGACAATCGTCTCAGACCAATGCCAAATCGCCCTTCTGTTGGTGAGTTGAACAATGCTTCATGACTGCAGAGACAACTCAACTGATTGATTACAGTTAGTGCGACTTCAGTCGAACCACCATTCAGGCTGGAAATACGATCACACCTACGGCGTCACCGAAATGGATCGCTCACACCACAGCAAAGAAAGCTCCATGGTATATTAAAGATAGGTAGGTGCTTCTACTCAGAGGTGCGTTCCGCGGATGTGGAAAACGAATGTGGTACTGGAGAGTAGCATAGCATTGAGCTCGCAAATGAGGCAACGCTCAGATCCTTGCGACGACGCGCTCTATCACGCTGTAACGCGCACCAACTTGCTCCAACTGCAAGAGCACCAGTGCTATAAATGCGCGAACGCAGCCGCAGAGGGGAATCGATCGGCGCCGGCCGCCTGTGCTTAGAGAGAGAGAGAGAGAGTGAGAGAGAGAGAGAGAGAGAGAGAGAGCACAGAGAATAAGATTGTAAGCGCCGTCTCCACACAATCTGGCACCAGTTCTGTATGCTCCCTCAAAACACTAGCGGTCAGTGCTGACCAATAACAGTCTGTGTTGAATTGTGGAAAAATCGCATAAACAGAACACAAGCCGCTTTGAGCACCTGCATTTTTGCTGCGGCTGCATTCGTCTCTAGCACTGGAGCATTGCAACAGTGTAGGCGCGTCCGCGCAGTCCGAACCAGGGCAATGCATTGGTTGGGGATTATCCCTATGGTGGGGGTCGTATTTTGGGGCTCCCGGAAAATTTATTTTTTATAGTTCGATTTTTTCTCGCTTCCCTCCAGCCATCGTACGAGCATGGGGGGGGTCGTACCAGCCCCTGAAAAAAGGGGGGGTCGTAAAAGCTCGACCAAAATCCCCATCGAATGCTGTGCCCTGGTCCGAACGAACAAACGAATTCAACTTACGAGATGGAGTCACCAACAGCCGCCAGTCGCGTTCGAATCAAAGCGAGTTCAAATCCATGGCACAGGTCCCAGCTCTCTGTCATTCGCCTCCTAACTATGGAACCGTCGCAAATTCTAGCCAATCATTCTTCATAGAAATCCGCACGAATAATATTGAAATGTGTTCTGGAATAACACGCGTTTGAGTCCTTTCTTGATGGATCTCCTTTATTGGTTAGAGGAGTAATCTTGGGCTATTTTAAAGGCACATTTAAACGACCAACTACTCTCGTCACCACTAAAGTCAGTTGGGGTGTGTCTGCGGTGTGGATTTTGTCGCCGCGCCAACCTCTTGTCACCTACCATCAAAGCCAGCGCAATCCAAAGCCCATGCGCTGTATACACGCCCCAACTGACTTCAGTGATAATGACTACACCTTTTTCGCTGGAAGGCCCCTGTACATTACCGTTTGGAACGAAGGGTGCATGGATGAGAAAGGCACAATGACACCTCCGCTCATTTGCTCAGCTTCAACCAGAAGGCAGTTGGCACGATGGTTTCCTACTTAGCCTAAAATGCTAGTAGGGCGCTGTATAGTGGGGAAATGGCGAAAGAACGGAGTGAAACGGTCAAAATCCTGCGAAGAAAAAGCCTCCGTTCTCAGTGACTTGTAAATCGATTTCGGACGAGTTTCCCGTAGGCATCTTGCCAATCACCGCTACCGAAGATACGGCTGCATATGTGTACCCATATATGCATGCAGCATCACGGCCGCTTCATACCAATCCCTTCGCTTCATAATTTGCTTAGCAAATGAATGAATACGAGCGTCAGGAACGGTCGTCCATTTGTGGGCGGGCGGGCGTGGCGGGCGTTTGGGACGTAAAGTTGTGGCTTGATAGGGCCCTTATAAGGGCCTTCCTCGGGGAAACCGCTATGCAGCGCCTGCCCAGGGTCGCGGAATTCTATCCTGCCAGGAGTATTGATCCTAGTCGTCTTGGGGATTTATCGTGCCAACTGCCTTCAAGTAAAAATATTCTAAATCTATCGAATACATTGCTTATGCACAGAAGTTGACACTTTGTCACTGCATATGATGAACGCTATCGTTTTGATCCATTTAGGACTACTTGGCCAAGTGTATATAATAGAATGACACCAGAGACTACAATTCCGACAACTGAGGAAACTACTACTACACAAACACCTGTCACAACTACTACAACGAGCACGTGAGTTGTTTAGTCTTGTTTTAAGTGGTTAAATAACTCTCAAAATCGGGTCCAGAGAGGTACTACCGTGTGGGTCAGGAGATAAAAGCAGTCCTGAGACTAGCCGCGCTGTGTCGGCATGATTACGTTTCCCCGCTGCGCCCCGCATTGCATATAGATATCCGCGCAACTGATAGGGCGTAAGACGGGGACACGCCTTGGAGCGCAGCCGGGGCAAATTCCCCACCAAGACAGGGAGCTCAAGATGACACGCCATTGTTGGAACAAGGCCGCCGTGCTCCAGTACGCGAAGAGTCACAGGCTTCATCCTTTGCAGAGCTCATGACTGTACGTTGCACTTACAACGCCACTTTTGATGAGGTAAAAAGCAATACACTCCAGTCGCGGAAGGTGAGGCGAAATGGGCGTCGCAAGCGGGATGACGTGCGCAGAAATCGCAACAGGACCCAGTCCACTAAACAGAGCAATTCTGCGCCGCTTCAATCCTCTCGCTGTTCCGCGCCTGCTTCTCCTCAATGTCGACTACCCAGTCTCTTCTTGTGTCCTTTGTCTTCAGTGATTTCTTGAAGCCACAGCCAAGGTGTTAAATCACTTTATTGGGCTTACGTTTCGGCTAGTCGCCTTCGTCAGAGCCTGGAAGTTGAAGATCAGTGATTCAATCCTCACAATCATTTCAAATTCAGAATAATTACGTAGATCAGCGCAATCTAGGAAAGGTAATCGCAAATCCGAAACACAAGAACTCACCTTAGACCATACGGTAGGTTTTGTAGAGGACCACCGCTAAACTGACTAACTGTGTGTGGCTTCAGATGACCCAGCCCCTCGACCTGAAGCCGATGGCGATTGAAGCCCACACAGGTCAACGAATGGGGCGAGCTCGTTTGTAATGGCGAGACACTCGTCTTTCTTGTTCATTTTTGGAACTTTAGCGCGTATCCAAAAGGCCTCCAAAGTTTTGCGGGCTGAGGTCTGGGGCTCTCGCATCAGAATCCTCACGGTCACCTCAAACTCCGCACCTCCATGGCACTGCCGCCTGTGAGCTCCCAGGGGGGGGGTCTCCGGTCTTGACTTCTTCAAGCCATCCAAGTGTTCCCTGATCCTGGAACAAAGTGGTCGTCCGGTTTCCCCAATATACTCATCCCCACATAGCGCACATGATATCAGGTAGATCACGCCTGATCTCATGCAATCACCCAATCGCCCATGAGGACAAATGACACAATCCGGGGTAATACAGTATTGATCGTACCCGCGGTTGCGAATCAGCTGTTTCCTAAGGTTCGCAGGGGGATCTCGACTACACGGACTAGATCGTCGAGACCACACCTACGCAGGATCGTTCTTACGGTGCAGCTGATCGCGTCACTCACAAAAGGCAAAAAATGGCACCTTCCCGGACTGCTCGACTTCCAATCCCTCTTGCCTCCTACTAGGTGGTCCAGAAAGGCATTTAGCCCTTGGGGGTACCCATTGGAAAGGGAAATGTTCTGGGCGAGCTCCAAGGACTCCGCTTTCTCCTGACTGCCTGAAGAAACCACTGAAGACAAGGACACACACCATGCCAAGGTTCATGGACAGTCGAACATGGAATCTCTCTGTGCCTTTCTCTAGTCAACTAGCTGGTAAATACTCTGGCTAAAGGGCGCGATGCCGCCACTGGGATGTGGTGCTCCGAACCATTTTCTAAGCCATTTTAGCCGTACCACCGCCTCTCCGAACTCCTGACCTACACCCCCTGGGCTTCTTTCAGGATCTATGAGGACTTTGCAACAAATCAATTCAAGTTTGTAGTGTAAGAGTGCATTTCGCGGCAGCATTCTGAGCATCCGCCAGTGTTTTGAGCGGTACTTGATACCTATACTTTCCTAGTCACTCAGAACGCTGACAGCCGCTTGAAACGCTCCTGCAAAGTATGAACGCTCCGACCCTTTAGCCCATTAAGCCGTTATGATTGTTCACGCGAAGGAACGAAGAAAAAGGAGTCCATTGAAAATGTTTAGCACTAGCACAACCTTGGCACCAAGCACGACCACGAAGACCACAAATCTTTGGGCGCGGGTGTGGACCACAACAAAGGCACCACAAAATCCCGTCACAGTCAGCGTTCTACAAGCTGGAAGTATTCGGACCCTTCGGGTGAGTTGCGAATTATAGCTAGAGTCCTAGTCATGAACTGACTGTGGCCTTCCTAGGATGGCCAATCGGAAGCCGTGGGAGCTATCACGCTAATCAACGACAACGGATTCTATGTGCTTGTCAACACTGGCGCTTCAAGTGACACTGAACGATTACTGCACAGTAAGTTGCTACCGATGTTGTCTTTCCTTTCAGCTCTTTGGTTCCCGTTTGTCGCAGAATCTGCTGAAAGGGGTGAAAATTAGTGTCTTACCAGTAGGATAGAGGCGGAGGTGGTGTAATGACAAGTGGCGCCATTGTCACTAAAGGATAAACTCCCGCCCAGGCCAACCAAGCCTTCTACCCTCCGGGGACGGTGAAATTGGTACCAGATTCGTCTGGGAGGATAAAACACTGACTTGTACATCGGCTGGCCACCGCAAGTCATTGTATAGGCCACATCGCATTCAATAAGCCACTACGATTCTGAATGGAAGTAGAATGCGTGCCGCATCCCACAAAGGGATTGATTAACGGCGAAGACTTTATCCTTTATCCTTTTACCAGTAGGATTACCTACGATGCTGATTATCAGGGATCACAGTCGAGCTGACCTCACAAGTCGGCAAAGTGCCATAGCTGAAACTAGAGCGCGGCAACCTACTTCCAGAGCATCCATGGCATTTTGCTAACTTGTGATCGATAGCACGCCATTGTTGTTAGGAATGAACTAAACGACACGGGGTTCAGAGACGAATCAAATAAGCTACAA